GCCTTACATCGTAACTGGCCGTTGCATCAGTTAGATATCTCGAATGCTTTTCTACATGATTCTCTGTCTGATACGGTTTATATGAAGCAGCCACCTGGCTTTACGGATACTACTAATCCTACTTACATTTGCAAATTGAACAAAGCAAAACATTTAAAATATGTCAAAAAATCTATTTTGAATGAATATAAAATTCATCAAAATTAGATGAATGCTAAATAAATAAAAAAATAAAAAATAAAAAGAAAAAAATACACACAAATACACAATCATTGACCTCAACTTCTCTGCCCACTGCCGCACACCCCGCTTATACAAGTCTTTTTTTAAATACTTTTTTTAGTTATTTATGCTTGTTAATATATTCATCAAAAATTAATCATGAACAAGCACAAATCCCAATAAAAAATGAGCTGGAAACTTTCGAAATTTAATTTGCGACCGTTTGAAGTCGGATTTCAACAAACTTATAGTAGAATTGAACATCTTGAAAAGACGAACCCAACAACACCAAATTTCACCAAATTCGAGACCAAATGGGTCCAAATCGAAGAACTGAAGCGCATTTGAAAGGTTAAAAACAAAAATTGTAAGATGAAATGTAACATGCTTATAGTCGAATTGAGCGGCTTGTCCACATGAATCCAATGAGCCCAAGATCGCCGAATTCTGATATCGTTAAGACACTCAAATGTTGATAAAGGATCCACGATCAATGTAGTCGATATCAACTGTTCATTCAAAGCACTCCTAAGTCGTAACATGCTCTTGAACTTCTTCCTATTTATTGATCACGCCACTCGAAAAAAATTATAAATAGACACCTCATTCTTCATTGAAGGAGGAAGCAAGAAAGAAAAGGAAAAGAGGAAAGAAATAGAAGTCAAGAGTTCTCTTGCCACCAGACTTCTCAATTACCGCTCGACCACCGACAATCGTCGGATTATCGTCAGACTTCTGCACGGTCATCAACTGTCGTGAGACTTCCGCCCCACCACCATTTGTCCCCAAATTTTCGTCCGACCACCAACTATCACCGGACTTCTGCTCGGCCATCAACTGACGTCAAATTTATGTCCAGCCACTGACTGACATCAGACTTTCATTCGATCCCTGTTGTCACTAAGGCTTCGTTTGGGTCGGCTTTCTTACTGCTTCTTAAAGCGACTTTCTAGTATAAATTTTTAATTCTTTTACTAGGAAGCCGCTTTAAGAAGCGCGAAGAAAGCCGTCCCAAACGAAGCCTAAATTTCATTAACCCAACAGTTAACTATTGTAATCTGATTGTCATCAACTTCAAGGACGAATCAATCATTTGTAATATATTCAAACTCTAGTAGAATCATTTCAATTGAACATGACCCCATAATTTTTCCCTTTAGTATTTTCCACATAAAAAAATTATGATATTTTTTTTCTCTCTCTATTTGTGAGGTGGATATTCATTCAATGCTAAGACAAATTTTTTCTACTTCACCACGGAGAATATAGTAGCCCACAACAAAGCTCAATAACATGGTCATTAAAAGGCTTAATATTATTTGTTTGGTTCACTTCACATATTGCTTGATAATGTAGCTCATAACAGGCTAAAAAACACTCAATTTATTAGCCATCTGAGCTGAGCTGAAACTAACCTCAAATAGTCATAATTTTAAATAAACCGAGCTTGAAGATCATTACAAATACTCGAATCGACTTCAAGCTCGAGCTCGATTAAAATTTTGACAAATGAGCTTAAGCTCGAATAAGCTCCCCCTCGGCCGGGCCGGCTCAATTCACTTGCAGCCTTGATTTGAAGTTTATTACATGGAATACCACCATCAGCCAGTCAGCTCACTTGAAACATATAATTGAATGGGCCAATTTATTATAAAAATAAATAAATAAATAAACATGCAAGTTTCTAGAATAGAGTGCCTCCCTAACCCAAACTTCGGGCTTTTTATGATTTATAATGAACATATAGTTTCAAATTTAGCCAGCCCAACCACACTAAATGCATTTTGTATGATTCTTCCTTAGAAAATTCATCCACAAATATAAATCTACATGCAATCTATAAATTGGAGACCTTTAGAATAAAAATCAAAACCATTTGAATTCTGATTTCAACTAATTTATAATCAAATTGAATATTTCGACAAGACGAACCTAAGAAAGCTGTCACAACAACATAAAAAAGGACCAGGTCCTAATAAGTCACCAAAAATCGACTTGATCCAGCACAAATCTAGAGGCATACATAAGTTGAAAATTTTCAAAATTAAATTTGGGAGCATTTGAACTCCAATTTCAGTAAACTTATAGTCAAATTGAATGTCTTGAAGAGACGAATCCAACAATATCAAAATTGGTCTAATCCGACCCAAATGGGTATGAATCGGAGGCCCGAAGCTTATTTGAAAGGTTCAAAACCTAAATTGGATGACCAAATAATATCCAAATATAACATGCTTAAGTCGAATCGAGCGACTCAACGAGACGAATCCAATTAGCCCAAGATCGCTTAATTATGACATAATTTAGACACATAAATGCTTGGCAAATGCTCTACAATCGAGGGGATCGATATGAGCCATCCGATGGGGCAATCCAAATCTGCCCAAAAATTCTCCATATTTACGGAGCATGACACTCTCAAAAATCTATAGACCCCACTCTCTGCATGAAAAAGAGGATTGGAGCATGGACATTTGGCTGAAGATTAGAAAGAGTTTTGAGGTTTTAAGAGCTCCAGCACTACAACCGACAAACCTCCGCCGGACTTCCACTCGACCATCATCGGACCACCACCTGACCACAGTTTGTCGTCAAACTTCCACCCGATCGTCGACCGCAGTCGAACTTTCGCTCAACCATCTTCAGACCACTGCTTGGCTGTCAACTACCGCCAGATTTCAACGCGACTGCCGACCGTCGCTAGATCTCCTCCAACGGCCAACCATTGTTGGTGCTCTATCGGACTGCCAATCAAACACCACTCCGACCACCTTCGCCCGCCGACTATAATCTTTTTGACCACCTACAGACCACAATTGCCTGCCAAATACGGTCCCTCCAACCATCGTAGTCCATCGACTGTGGTCCCTTCAACCTCTGTCACCTGCTGACTGCGGTCCCTTTGACCTCCATCGCCCACCGACCACCGTCGCCCACTGACTACGATCCCTTCGACCTTCGTCACCCGCCAACTACGGTCCCTCTGACCTCCGTCGTCATACCAACCAAATGAACAGACCAAAGTTCTCTTGAGAATGACTCCCTTATCATTGGATTCTTCCAATCTCAACTATGTATTGAGCTTTATATGATACATTGAGCCGATGCCTTCTCCTGGTGGAAGGACATCATTTGTAATCGACTACTAAAACTAATAGATTCATTTAAACTGGGCCATACCTTATGATTTTTTTCCTTTTCAAGATTTTCCATATAAAAATCTTGGTCTCTTATGACTCTCCAACCCCTCTTTCTTTATTTGTATCTTTGTTGGATCTTCATTCAAAGCTAAGACATTAAGCTCTTTATCTCTCTATTGCCGTGAATGTTCCAGTCCACAACATGTCCGAGTCCAAATGAACTCAAATCTCAAATCAAACACTTAAAATATAGGCCATTACAATGTGGCCTTAAAAAAAAATCAAACACTTCAAATATAATTGAAAACTTTGAGATATTGATTGAACATCAAATGATCCTTAAATCATGCTTGTTTGTAGTCAAATTGAACCACTTGAGTAGATGAATCAACCATCTAAATATCATGCAATTCTAAGGTCATTAAGATACTTAAATGCTGAATAATCTGCCAATAATTTAATGATTCAATATGAATTGTCATGAAATTTTGGTTAGATTTTTTTAAATGTTAAGCCTAAAATATTATAAATAGACCATCATTTTTCACATGGACGGAGATTAGGAGCAAAATTTCAAGGGAGCTTAAAACTCCATTTAATATTCTATGCTAAATATCACTACTAGGTATTATTCTCATTCAATCATCATTGCTTGATCATAGTAATTAAACAACCACCGACCAACCATCCTAATCCATTCACAATCCATCACTCACAATTCACAGTCGCTTAACTCAAGTCTCACGAATGCCATCGCTCAACAATGGCCTTCAAATCATCATTGCCTGACTAAAGCCATCCGACCACCATAACTCGACTATGGTCTCCCGACCATCATTGCACTACTACGAATTCCCAAATTTGGTCTCCAGACCATCATTGCCCAACTACAATATACTGCCATTAACATCAACCCCAAAACTCATCAACTTAATTGCCTATTATTGCCACCAATATAAACACATTGTCATCACCCATAAGATCAATGTACTCTATCGATGTCAATAACTCGTAACATCAAAATCAAAACTTACACTAGACTTCACAGTTTCTAATCTTCTTAAAAGAGAATGATCAAAAATGCGCAGACAAACTCTTAAAAACAACTCTATTACCACAAGTCTGTTCCCATTGCTATATTATATCATTAACACCCATAATTACGGTGGTGGAAACAATTTGTAATAGACAATAAGCACAAGTGGACTTATTTCAATAGAGCTTGACCCCATAATTTTTCAACAAAACAAAAAATCCTTGAATCTTTATACGTAGTAAAACCTAATTTACAAAAAAAAAATTCTGGTCACTAACAACCAGGAGTTTCTGACGAAAAGAATAGAATATGCATTTCTAATAGCTAAGGGCATCTCCAACCGAATGGCAAACATGCATATGACATCGTTCGGTAGCTCCAGCCGAATGCCAAAACTTTCGCTATTTACTCACTGTTCACCTACGCGATTTTTCTGTCTCAACCGGATTTATCGAAGAAACGCGCAAAAGAGGAGAAAGACGGTTACCTTCGCAGAAGCGCGCAAAATGGAGTTCGATTGGAGATGAATCACGGTATTTTTGAGTTTCACTGCATTTTAGAGTGAAAAATGGAGGCCCTAACTCAGCATGCTAAACGAGACATGAATTCGGCAAAAATTATCACTACACTACTAATTTCTAAAAATATACCATTTAATATACTGAACCGGAGAACTAAAACTAACATATTCATAACTATGCTAGAATGCTTAGCATGCTAAAATCACATGCTGAAGAAGATTCTAAATCTCTGAAATAGAACATTACCCGTCTACCGACAGTTAAGTAAATGAATAATAACTGTATGGAGCTGGTTCAAAGCATACCAGAGCCAAGGAGGTGTATTTGAATCTGCGTTTCATTGCCGGCTGCAGCACTTCAGAAGTCTTATATCTTCTGTTTAAGGACCTGACGAAGCTGAACCTTCTGAATTTGAATCCTTGCGTCCATGAGCTTTGCCTTCAAGCTTTGCTTCTTTGTGGACTGTGGCCATTCAACATGGCCCGTTACCCCATTGCTAATATGAGAGTTCAGTAAATCAGAGGAGCTCCAATTACAAGCACTAGCTGGGCTGATGCCTGTTTCGGTAGACATCCTTGATGATGATAGTGTGGCTGTGGCATTAAATGATTGATCATTGCAAAGTCTCCCATTGGTTAACTCAAAAGAAATCTTCTTCAAATCTTCGGCATTACTCCCATGTGATGACTTCCAAAATCTAGATAGAGAAGAAGCTTTTTTTCTTGATTGTCTTGTTGTTATGGAACAAACCTCGCTAATTTCACTAGTTTGTTTCTCATCATCTCTATGCATATCACAATCTACTCCACTAACAGAGGGTTCACTTCCATCAGGTGACTTGCAGGAGTCGTGCTCTTCCACATGACTCACGGTTTCCCACCCGCTCTCATCTTCTTCTGCATCACAATTTCCATTAAATATCATGTTGTCGTACTTCTTCATGATACTTTCTGAATATCCATTCGCATCGGGAGTCAAAGATCCATGGCATTGTTCAATCTCTTTTACAGTAGCCTGCTGTATTGGCTGGAGTTCTTCAAAGATGGAAAAAATGCCATGAGAAGCTGGTAGAGGATGGTATGAGAACTCTTTCATATCATAAGCTTTGACTGATCCAATTGCCTCTTTAAGAGCTTGTGCTTGTTTAGTCTCAGAAACATTGTAGTTGTTGACACTTCTTATACTCAGAAAGGCTTCTACCTCCTCCTGCAATTTGCTTAGCTTTGAATACTTTTCTTCAAGAGCTAGCTTTGCATCAATTAGCTTCATTTGCACTCTTTCTTCCCTCCATACCTCTGCCATCTGTAACATCTTTCTCTCCTCTTCCACTTCTTCTCTGGTCTTTACTGACTCCAACTTCAGTGCCTCAACCTCAGCCTTATCATCCCCAATCTCCTTAGCCAGCTCATTGCAAACTTCTTCGATAAGTTCACGGGATTTCCTCTCTTTCTCATACTCCTGCAAGAACTGCTTTGCAGATAGCTTAGCCTCAGCAAGCTCATTAACAAGCTTGGCATTCATAATTTCTAGCATCTGAGCATTCTTCCTTTCTCTGTTCAAATCCTCCTTCATTGCATCAATTACAGATCTAATCTTTTCATGCTCTCTTCTCCTCCGCACAGCTTTCTCTTCAATTTTCCTCATGAAGTGATCAAGCTTTTTCTTAGCAGATTCCCGTTCCACCTCAAGCTCACTGACTTTGGACCGAGCCAGTTCAAGTTCTGATCGGAGAGCAGAAACAATAGAGAACTTGTTGGTTTTCTGGTCTTCGAGAGGTTTCCGATTATCATAAAAGTGAAATGCATCTCTAGATACCTTTGGATAGCCAAGGTCCCATTTTGTCTCAATCTCGGAAAAGGAAGAGAGCAATGAAGCAGAAGCTTCAAGCTGATTGAATTCACCGAGTCAATAAATGGCTGTAGAAATACAACTCAAAAGCACAAAGATGTATTTTTTTTCTCATCACACCACAAAGAAGCTTGGTATATACCTTGTGCGAAATGCCATTCCTGCGTTTTTTAATAGCAAGAAGGCTAATGAAATCTTCATTGGTATCAGGGTGGAGATTGAAGAAATTGCCACTGGAGACATAAGGGAGGTGTTGCTGACCGTAATTGATCTTCAAAGAAGAATATGGAAAGAAAAGGAGAAACAGTAAAAGAGAGTTTTAAAACGACAGCATCATAGGATAAAGATAGCAATAAAAAATTAAGAGAAATTTAGGAATTCCATTATGGGACCACAATAGATCCCCAGATAGATCATGGAAACAGTCACATCTGAAAGAGTCCTATGGGGTCGCAGCTGAGTCTATATGCCCCTTGATCATCCCATGAAAGCAAATAAGTTCTTTCAAAAATCACATCTCCCAAGCTGACTAATGCAATTGAAAGTCAAAAGAATGTCTAAGGGCATCTCCAACCGAAAATGTCATTTTTCACTCCAAAATGCAGGGAAATCAAAAAAATGCCGTGTTTCATCTCCAATCCAACGCCATTTTGCCGCTAAAATGGTCGTTTTCGTTGGCGCCTTTCTTCCCAAGCTGTTCGGTAGAGAGAAGAAAATGCCGCAAATGAACAGTGCAACGCCAATATTGGCGTCGCACTGTTCATCCGCGATCAAATGGCGTCAAAAAAGGAGATCGGTTGGAGCAAAGCAAGAACGGCGGTTGGAGATGCCCTAAAAGGCTAGAACAATGTATGAATTTTTTTTGGGACTTTCAATATATGAAAATTGATAAACGTTCTGGAAATCTACCAAAATTGAAATTTGTTTAACAGATTATGAGAATAGACTTAATGAGCAGAAAAATATACAACGGAGCCCCTAAGAAAATGCCACCATGACACTAAGTCGTCAGGACTCAAGATGCCAACTTTTCAGAAGAAATTGCTTAAACAAACTAAGCGGAAACCCTAGAAAGAGGCCTTTTTAAGATCTGAAATTTCCAAACCTTCAAATCCAAACTGGGTTCTCCTCCACCGACAACCTTCGGGAGCCAGAGGTGCAAGATTCCGGCAGCGAGTCTCCTCGCTGAAGCAGCCGGCTTGGAACCTCTTGCCGGTTTTTTGTGCTTCCTGAGGGTTTCGCCACCTGGATGGCGCTGCGGCTTGCCGCCGCTTGAACTTTCTTCGTCGAACTTCCACTGGAGCAAAGGAGTGGCGGGGATACTTCGCTTTCCACCGTCCCCAGCGGCGACGCATAAGGAAAAACGGGGACGACTCCGCCACCGCCGCCGCCACTGCGGCCGGCGGTCTGACTTGATTCCTGAGGCTAAAGAAGAAAACTTACCCGGAGTTTTCGCCGGTAAAAGAGTCCTGCTCGCCGTATCAGTCATCGCCTTGCGTGCTCTGCCGCGATCCTCGCCATGGATAGAAACAGAAAGATCTACACAAGTGTTGGGATTTGCGGCTGGCTGAGTAAAAATAAAGCGAGGGAAGCAAAGTAAATTGAAAGTAGAGAAGAGAATCCAAATTTAAGTTGGCGGATGCACTCAAAGGAACTGACGGCTTACAGATTTGTCGTTTATTTTCAATAAAAAAGACTTGTTTAGGATTTCTTTTAGATGATTATAGCTAACAAAAGTGAGAGTGAAACAGCATAGTCTAATAGATCATGTGATCAACAAATTAACATTAAATTTTTTATTATTTAAATTGATCAATATTATTAATTAATCGTTAGTTGTAGCCTATTAGACAAAGATTTTAAAGATATGAAGTGAACAATTTAGTGAAAGGAGCTTAATAAATATTAAATTTAAGGAGCATAAAAATAATCCATGGTTTTTAAAAATGATTTCAGATTTGTAGAAATTGTTTCACAATTTCTTTTTGGTTTCTTTAAAAATATTTTTTTTACATGTGAGTATAATCTTATTGTTTTTTTATCAAATATACTAAATTTTACAATTAACGGTTCAAGTTATTCGGGTTGCTAGTGGATAGAGTTCGGGTTGGTGTTTTTGACCAATCAACTTATTTTGACATCCTAGATGGTGGCAATATCAATGGGTAATGTGGTGGTGGCGACTCTCAACACGAGGCGGGTGGCAGGTAATGACAACAATCAACATTGGGGGTGGCAGGGGTAAGTGGTGGTGGTCAGCGATCGATGGCAGGAGTGTTGGTGGTGATCGGTGGCAAGCAGGGATAAAATGGGTTGCTTGCGATGAAAATGATTTTGATAAGAGATGGGTGAATTTACTTTAGTTCAAAAATGAACTACAAAACTTTACACTACATTATGCTTACTTTGCTTTCCTATTTCATATAGGATTGTTTGGTTGGAAGAAAATGTGTGTAAAATATTTCAAATACAATTGTTTTTAAATATTTGTGTTTAGTTTGATGAAAGAGAAATGTAAAGTAAAGCAAAATAAATGAAGTATAAATCAAAATAAATAAATTATAAATCATTTTAATTCATTTTTGAGATAAACTAAACTCGCCTAGTTTTGAGTAAGAATAGTTTGCACCGCAAACAAGCTCACTTGATTTCCATCACTGGTACCACCTTACACATTCCATCATCATTGCCACTCATTTTCCCCGTCATTACCACTAGTGCCGGAGCCAGAAATTTTATTCAGGGGGAGCATAAGTCAAAATATTGTTATTTGTCATATTATATGGCATATTAGAATACATTAAAATAGTTGTCCATGAGCCTTTTGTGATTCTCATTTAGATTGTCTTACCTGATTAAGATCACATTTTACTAACCATAAACACCATTGATACGTCTTCAAAAAATTATCTTGATCGGGCACGAATCTCGATGCAAAATTAAGTTGGAAATTTTCAAGATTAAAATTGGGACCATCCAAACTCTGATTTAGTAAACTTACAGTCAAACTGAATGTCTCGAAAATACGAACCCAACAACACCAAATTCGACTCAATCCGAGCCCAAATGAGTCCAAATTAAGGACCCAAAGCGTTGTTAGAATGTTCGAACAACAATTTGGATTACCAAATGGTTTCCAAACATTACGTGCTTATAGTCAAATCGAGCATCTCGACGAGACAAATCCAACGAGACCAAGATTGTCAAATTCTGACATCATTAAGATTTTCAAATGTCTGACAAACAGTCCACAATCATGGGATTCAATATTGGTCGTCCATCCAAACCACTCTCCATTTTCCATTGATCTCCCACATATTTATGGCCATGCCACTCTAAGAATCTATTAATAGACCCTTCATCCCTATTGAAAGGTAGGCTCCAAGCAAGAGAGCAAGTGAGAGATCGGAGATCGCTCTTGCCTCCTCGCTCCTCCTCGACCACAGCCTGAGTCCCGCCGGACCACCCCCTGACATCGTTGCTCCGCCGGACCACCACTCGAGGCCCTCGCCTTCATTGGAACACCACTTGAGGCCCTCACCTCAGTCGGAACACAACTTAAGACCCGGACTTCCGTCGAACCACCACGTGAGGCCCAGACTTCTGCTGGACGGAATTCTGCCGGACCACCACATGAGGCCTGGACTTCCGTCATACCTACATCTGACTCATTGACTTTCACCGGACCATCTCCTGAGGCCCGGACTTCTGCTGAACCACCACCTGAGGCCTGGACTTTTGTTGTACCACCATCTGAGGTTCGAACTTCTGCCGTACCACCACCTGAGGCCTGGACTTCCGCCGGACCACCACCTGAGGCCCGGACTTATGTTGGACCACCACTTGAGACCCAAACTTCTATCAAGTCACCACCTAATGCCTAGAGTTCTTCCAAAGTACCCCCTACTACAACGGTTTTTCTGACCTCGGTCTCCTGCATACTACGGTCCTTCCGACCTATATCGTCGGATAATGGTCTTTTTGACCCCGGTCACCTGCCTACTACAGTCTTTTTGACATACATCTTATTAACTATGGTCATGTTGACCAAACAAACATGTCTATATTGATTATTGTAACTCCCGCCATGTAATACATTCTATATGATGTACATTTGTGACATCAAGCCAAGGCCTTCTCCCTAAGAAGGGCCTCATTTGTAATATACTACAAATACTAGTATATTCATTCAAACTGGGTCAGGCCCCATGTGTTTTCCCCCTTTTTAGAGGTTTCCACGTAAAAATTCTAGTCTCTTATTAATGCTAAACCCCCTCTCTTATCTTCTTGTGTGTTGGATCTTCGTACAACGCTAAGACGTTAAACTATATATTTCTCTACCGTCGCGAATACTCTATGACGTAACAACCATCTTAGCTATTGGAAAAATATTTGACAAACATCTTAAAATGAATAATACGAAAGTTAGCATATACAAATTATGATGCACTTATATCCTAGTTGAGGAAGAGTCTGTTGGCAAGAGAACACTAGTTCCTCTCTATTTATTCTATTTCTTCTCTTCCTTGTTTGAGCTCCATTCCATGAGAAATGAAAGATCTATTTATAAATTTTGAGAGTGATATGACCAATAAATAGGAAGGAGATCAAGGATAAGTTGGAAGTTGTTTGAATGGATTGTCAATATTGGACATTTGAATATTTTAATGATATTAAAATTTGGTGATATTGGACTCGATGGATTTGTCTCATCGAGTTGTTTTATTCGACTATAAGCATGTTAGTTTGGAAAAAGTTTAGTCATGATCTAATTTATGGTTTGAACTTTTCAAATGTGCTCTGGATCTTCGATTTGGTTAGGCTCGGATTGAGTTGAATTTGGTGTTGTTGTGTTTGTAATTATGAGACATTCAGTTCACCTATAAGTTTGTTGAAATCAGAGTTTGAATGGTCTCCGATTTAATTTTGAAAGTTTTAGACTTGATTTTTCCTTGACATTTGTGATCAGAATAAAATTTTTAATGGCATATCATAGATAAAAGGTATAGATGTACATTTTTTATCTTTTGATGCACGTGTACCCTTCCCTCCTCCCATGGCTGCCACCCACCGCAGGCCACCTCTAGCGGCTAGCCATCGCCGATCACCATCACCACCGCATCCACTGTCGGCCGCCGCCACTTGCCACAAACCAACACCATTATCATATGCCGCCGCGACTTGCTGGTAGCCATCATCTTTGGACTTTACAATACATTCATTTTACTTTTAAAAACAAAGTGAAAAGAAAGTATTCACATATATTTAATTTACACTCATCCAAATACCTTTAAACTATTCCTTTTACCTTTTTTAACCAACCAAATAGCCCCCTAATCCAATACCAATATTTTCAAAACATGTAATTGATTTACTTCACACCCACTTTAATTCAAACCAAAGAGCCAATGAAACATCTTTATAATGAAAATAAAAAGTTAAAATTGTTAGGCTTCACTCCAAATTCTAATATTATTGGTCTTCTAATATAAATAGCTAAATAAATTTGATCAATTTTTACTAGTTTAAAATCAGTGATATGAAAATATTTAATTTATTTTATTTAAATAAAATGATATTAGCGAATTTTTTAAGTGATTTAAGTATTATAATATAACATAAATAAATATAAAAATTAATATTAGATATATACATTAAAAAAGCAGTGGTTCTGATTTAAATTAACTTCAATTGTTTGCTGAAATCGCAGCAATTAATTATAATGATCGTTAATTATTGGAAGTTGTGTAAAGTTAATTAATAACAAGTCCTGTAAATAATTTTCGAGAAGATAATATTGTCAGGCTTATTCTTGTTAGGGGTGCAAACGAGCCGAGTTGAGCTCGAGTCAGGATGTACGTGTTCGAGCCGAGCTCAACTGTCAAATACCGAGCTCGAGTTCGACTCGGCAAGGGAAAATGAACTCGTCGAGCCGCACTTCGAGCATGTTAATGAGCCCCGTGTTAGCGCATGCATGCGTCGTCTGCCTGCAGCAGAGCCTGCGTCGTCCCCGTCTTCCCGCAGCGCATCCGAAGTCCGAACGAGCAGCAGTTTTCATTTTCCCGCGGCTTCATTTTCCCCGCGTCCTTGTCTTCCCGCCTGCGTCATTTTCATCTTCCCGCCAGTGTCATTTTAATTTTCCTGCTGTTGTTACGCGAGCTAGCAGCGGGTGTTCTAATTTGAGCTCGTTAAACCATCAAGCCTATTAACAAGTCAAGCCCGAGCCACCTCGTGAGCCGGCTTGATTCAGTTGCACCCCTAATTCTTGTTAGGATGTAAATTCCTTCAGCTCCTTATTTGAACACTTTAGCTTTTTTGGGATAAAAAAGGTACATCTCAATAAAAGTTTTCCGAGTATTAAGAACAACATATTTAAAGTCCATATTTAAAGTCGGGATATTTATCACAATAATGGTATGAGAAGGGAGGTGGAAGGGTTTTGTAATAAACAAAAAAGTTTGTGTAGGTATTATATTAGGAATTATGGTTAGGTTCGGTAAGTTTTTTTAATTGTGTTCTAACTAAGGCTTCGTTTGAGACAGTTTTTTTACTGCTTTCTAAAACGGAGTTTTAGTACAAATTTTTTTATTTTTGTACTAAAACTTCGTTTTATAAAGCAATAAAAAAGCCGTCCCAAACGAAGCCTAAGTGGTAGCTTGGAAACTACTATCAATAATGTCTTTATGTAGAAAAGTTGGGC